AAGTAAAAATTTAGTTAATTAATTGATCGATTTTTTTTTACTTTTCTAACTTTTGTAGTTTATTTAAAGGGGAAATATATTTTGTATTATGAGAATATTTCTTTTTTTGCTAGTGAATATTGCATTAATATTTTTGAGAATAAACAATGATTTTTCCTTATACAAATCCTACTATTTAATCCATAGCTTGGGTGGGAGAGATAGATTAATACCGTTCTTAAGAGTATTTGCGCGTAAGTAAATGCAATGAACCCGGCTGGAATTAGAACTCGACTTTCTAATTTCTCATTCCGAACCTTAAAAAGTGTTATAGTGGAACACACATATTCTATAGTTAATAGACTCTCCCACCTATAATAAGTAGGAATAGTAGGGGTCGTTCAGTCAGTCGATGCCGGACGACCGTTAGTCGGATACTAAAGTATCAGCGACCACAACTAGATTTACTCTGCGTCATTACCTATTATATCAAGTCTCTAACGTTTTGTACGTCGAACCTATTTTAGGAACGACTTAATACAAATACAAGCCCCCACTATGAAACCACTCCATAACAAAAAGTTAGTATTATACAAATAATAATAATAATGTATGTCTCTGGTGTACCATTATCAGACTGGGTGCCATGAGGAGCTTATTGTGTTTCATATATTTCGTTCCCGGCGTTACATTGCTGTTATTCAACAACAACATCAACAACAACAGCAACAACGACAATAACAAAATAATAATAATAATAATAATAATAATAATAATAATAATAATAATAGATTGTACTAGTGAGCACTTCTCACTTTGAAAACTATTTCGATCAAGAATCTTACTTATTATAAAACCCAGGTTGTGTGTGCGCGTTTGTGTGTGTGTGTGTGTGTGTGTGTGTGTGTGTGTGTGTGTGTTTACGTTTATATATTGGATCGGATTTTCTACATTTTTCAACCGATTTCAACGAAACTTCACAGTACTACGTAAAATTACCTTGAGGTGGTTCTGACAGCGCCAAAAATTGGAAAAACACAATTGTTTTTGCACGAAATCAATTTGAAAACACGATTAAGAGTCATCGCCAGAATGAAAGGGGACAAATCATATCGAGTTATACTTATTATAAAACCCAGGTTGTGTGTGTGTGTGTGTGTGTGTGCGTGTGTGTGTGTGTGTGTGTGTGTCGTTTATATATGGGATCGGATTTCCTACATTTTCAACCGATTTCAACAAAACTTCACTTTTTTTGGCAAGTAGTGTTTCTTATTGTCTAGCAGACTTTTTTCTTCATTTTTACATCCAGAATACTTTAAAAATTCCATTTATAAGACAATTGTTTATAATAAGATTCTATTCAATCGGTAGACTCATAACGATGGAAAACAATGTTTTTTTTGTTTGAGTTTGGGTTTGACCAATTCGTAATCCACCCACCAAAAAAAAACTAATTAAGACATTAAACAGTAATCTTTGTCAATTTTATTTTTCAGTCTTTATGATGGTCGATACTTGATCTATCTCTTACTGTTACATCCCCGGGCAACGCCGGGCTCTACTGCTAGTACTGAATAAATGTCGAAGAAAAACAATCATTTACCTTACGTCTCATGTAAAAATACAAATAAATTTTTTGAAAGGACTGTATCAAACAGCAAATAAAAATAAATAATTAAATATTAATAATAATATTCAGTATTATTATTATTATTATTATTATTATTATTATTATTTGTTGGAAAGTGGTTGTGGCTCAAAAGTTTCGAAACCACACGTGACTGTAAGACAAGAATAATAAAAGAAAAAATCAATAAAAGATAGGAAGATCCAGCTGGAATAGATTTTAGTGCCTTATGGTCTCGTAACACTAAAACTAAACTAAACTAAATAAATAAATAAAAAATATTGCCTCCTCTGTGAATTCAAAATTTACCGCGCCTCTGAGACGTTGACCCGAACAGTTCTTACCTTAACAACACGCCCCATCACCTCTTGTCTCTGCCTGCCCCACCCAAATGTGATAACGATAAACCAAGACATTATAATTGTCGCAGACACTGCTGATAAATAAATAAATAAAACACGGTTTCACTTTCTCTTTCTCTTTCTCTCTCTGTCTCTCTCTCTCTACTTGTTCTTTCCCCATTTTAAACCTTAAATAACAATAGATAAGTCACTAATAAATTCGTATTTATCAACGATGACTGACTACTTTCAAAACGTTATCTACAAATAAAGAAAAAATCGAACAAATTGAATATATACTGATAATAATCAATAATACAAAATACAAGTAATAACAAAAGAAAACAAGGGGGTTTAACAATCTATTACGTTATTTAGTTGCTAGTTATTTTGATGTATTTATGTTTTTTAAGATAATTAAATTAAGATCAGCAATAAAAAATATAAATGTAATCTAAGTATAATAATTTGAGTTTTAGAAAAGATTTAAATACTCTTGATGCAAAGCGTTTGCAAACAGATATTTTCTAAGTTTAATCAAGTCTAGAAAAGA